GCAAATGTGTACCTGATGATGACAAAACCTTGTCGAAACGTTGTACATTTGCTGTCATGTTAAACTTATATTAAAGTTTTTCTTCATTACCCATTTAAGCCGTCTCCAGCCATTATTAACCTCTGTAAAGTGTTGGACTAGTACATTTCGATCGAATAGCGCAACTTGACCACCACTTTTATAATTTAAGCCTCGGCCTCAAAATGCGGAACGCAGTATATATATATGTTTTTCGGTAACAAGACGCGAACCACAGATTCTCAGATCCATAGCTCGACTCGCTAACCACTGGGCCTTCCTCGGTGTGAATGTTGAGGTTCAAAAAACATCATGCGCGATTTCAAACAAAATCCATTTTAAGGTAGAATGTTTACAAATTGCGCAGAAAACGCAATTTATTCGTTGCTAGAGATATTACAGGATATAATGAAATAGCAGAAAGGTTAGACAGTAGAAAAGAAGAGACGAAAGAGAGTACTCAAGAAAAATTACGAACACCGATTGAAGATCCCGTTTTGGTGATGAGTAAACATGTGACATCTGGAGCCAAGTGTCTATGAATTTAATATTTGAAATTTAAATATTACATCAGTGTTCCAACAGCTGCGTTTCATCTCAGCCCAATCAAAGTTTTTCGTGTTATTCCCAAAGAAGTTCATAAGTACATCAATAGTACTCAGAAAACGATAACCACCAAATCATTGTATTCTGTAAGTTAGATAGATAAACAAACGTTATATAATTTACTTCCTTCTGTAAAATTACATTGTTTGAAGTAGCAACAAATTAATTAAAGATTTATGAAATTTCGGTTACAAGATTGACAGGATTGAGTTTTATGAAGGTCTTAAGTTATGATTATTTTTTTCTGAAACTTAATGTTTTGTACACAGTTTCAAACTGTACAGCTAACAATACAACATATAAAGCTCATTGTCACTGGTTCTCGACTAAAAACAAAAATAATACGTGTAAATGTATCGCAGAAAGCCCGTAATGGACGTGCTAAGTTAGTGTAGTGTAAGAGTTCCTAAATTTGATTGTGTGTATTGAATCGTCTTTCTATTGTTCCCTGACCAAAATAATTGAAACAAAGCAATTTCCCACGACAAACAAAAAAAAACAACTTAAATTTAAAGCGGCATTTTTGCATGCATGGTATGAACTGAAATTTTTGAGCTTGTATTAGCTAACAAGTTATATGAATTATGTTTTTATGTAACATAAATGTGTACGATGCGCAAAAGTAGAGTTTTATAAACACCCAAGTAATATTATTGAACTAGGAACTATATTAAGTAATTCCGTATAACCGACAAATACATGGATATAATAAAATAGGCATGCACATGACAGGCATGCACATGACAAATACAGGATATAATAAAATAGACATGCACATGGCAATTACAGGATATAATGAAATAGGCATGCACATAATTTTATTATATCCTGTATTT